AATTCACTGCTTTTTTTTTTCTTCCTCCTGTGCACTTGGTACGTATGAATGACTGAGCGGTATTACTTTTAACAGACTGGGAAAATCAATAATCTTAAGTGTCTCAGCTCTGAAAGGGGCTTTAGGATATAAATTCAAGAATAATCGTGCTCCTATGAGGCTGGTTGTTTGCAGTCAACTGCATTAAAGCCAGTTTTTCTCTAAACTACAAGGGCAATAAATGGAAAATTAAAAGAGTGTGGATTTGGAATTATTCAAAAGCGAGGAAAATAATATGTAGCCGACATTGCTGGTAGATTCAAAAATAAAATGTATTTTAGTCTGACATTTATTGAAATCAGTAAATCTTAGTTAATAATGTCAGGGTTTTATTACATAAATTTTATTATGACCTGGTATTTGGGGCATTTGTGTCCTATATTCCGTTTCTCGACATGATTCACGCTTGTTTCTCCCCTGAGGCCATTTTGATTAGTCACCCCATAACCTTTTCTTACCAAAGAGGCATTCATCGCCTTGTGCACAGTCGTTTAGTTCTTGCTCAGCTCTGCGCCTGTGCTCTTCACGGCCATCCAGTCGTTTGGCCACAGAGACCTTCTCTGTGTCCCCCCCAGACAGAGACTCCATTCCTGTCCTTGACCCACACAGCCTCAACATTCATTTTTAATTTGGGGTGGAGGTAGAGGGAGGTTTGAGCACATTTTTATTTACTGCTGTGGGTCAGATCCTTCTAAAGCCTGGTAACACTGGCCTCAGTATTTCCTCCTTTCAGTAAATAACAAATAACAATAATGAATAGTCTGTTTTTTAAGCCAAAATCAAGTTTAGATTTCGTGTTTTTAGTAATCGCTGGGCTCAAACCTACGACTTCAGGCTGCTGCGCTGACCACTGAGCTAATGTACGCTACACTGCAAAAAATAGCTATCTGAAAACAAGTCACAAATACTATATTAAAGTCTGAATCTTCTCAAATTAAGTAAAATAGTTTGCCAGTAAGACAAATGCACTTGGTAAGACTTCTTGGCACATTCAGCAGTCTCAAAACAAGATCCAAAATACTTTTTGGCTGCATATAAGATTATAAGACTTGGTTAGACGGATATTTTATGCAGTGTGGTTTATTATTAACCTAATAATTTCGGAAAATTCTATATTAAAAAAATAACCCGAGTTCATTCAGGGGATGCAAGTCTAGACAAGTCTGGACATGTGAGCTCGGTATGTGCAGTGAATTCTTTTTCTTTTCTTTTTTTTTTTCCTTTCATCACAGAGCAGAGGTGCAATCAGTGCCAAGATAATAAGGAAAAAGTATCTCAACAGACACCAGACAAGAGCTTTGGTTTCCTTTTTGGTATTTAATCTACCAGATTTCATTCATGCTGAAGGTTTTCTGGGTGCATCTGAACAGAAGATGCATCACGACACTTGAATTAAAAAAAAAATAAAATTTTAAATCAACGTGCCAATAAGTTGTCATTAAGCCTTTATTCAACGTTAATTTGAGTCTAGCAGCTTTTGTTAATAAACTCGGAAGCTTTTTCCCTTTGATTGGTAATTATACACGCTTGGCTGCCCCCATGCATCCAGAAGAAAAAAAGTGGGGGTGACTGGCTTCACTGCCTCCTTAAAGAGCTGATCTTTTTATAGAAATATACGCTCGATGGATTAAATGACGAAAATACTTGAAGCTTTGAGTTCAAAAAGAAGCTTTGGCTAAACTTTGCAAGACTGTTCTAATGATGCTGGTGTTTCTGGGCAGGATGGTAACTCCCCGCAGACCCAATTTCACTCCAGTTCTCTCAGTTAATTAGATTAGACAGGCATAATTTCTAATCTCCATTTCTTTCTCCTCCAGGACCTCAAAGTGTTTTGTGTCGGTCCCATCAGGTCTTCACTCTTGCTGTCTTTTTCTTAATAAGACTCTCAGCTGACTCGCTTCTTAAAGTTTTCTGCAGAGTAAAAGAATACTGCAAGACATTTCTTGTAGGCTCCCGTAAAAATGGTAGAATCCAGGTTGAGAACTCTGGCATAATTGGGCCACAAAGTTCAGCTAAATAGCAACGGAGGAGCGCCTAGAGTTAGTGAGCATGGTTAAGGCTGGATAATGTAGCTTAGTTTGAGACAGTTTCCTGTTGTTCCCCCGAGTGCATATGAATTATTAACATCCCCCGAGAGCAGAAATGCCAGTAAACAATGCTGCGTGTTTAAATTACTGCAGGACATACTGGGTAATTTTTTAGTTACATTAGTGTTAAACTCGGTAACGCTTTCTTTTACATACCCTTATTACCATGTAATTACAAGATAATAAAAGATGGTAATTAAATGTAATTACTACCTTATTACCATGTAATTGCATGTAATTAGGGTACAATTTTATCATGTAATTAATTGTCTGCAGTAATGTAGCACTTACCTGGTAATGTATCACAATTCACTATGTAACACCTAAATAAGTAGTAGGTAATTTGGACAGTTTCAAAGTTATATTTTATTGCAATTAACCACTAACCCCAAAATTTCATTGCATTCTTTTGTTTATAAATATTGTGTTGAATTACTGTTGAATTGTAATTTGATTGCAGTTACCCAATAAAGTTAGTTTTACTAACAGTAGTTTTTCTTTTGTTCCATAATTACCACATAATTACATGATAATAAGGTAGTAATTACATTTAATTACATTTTTTATTACCTTGTAATTACATGGTAATAAGGGTACCGTAAAAGAAAGCGTTACCTTAAACTCAGGATTGTAGTTTTGCTTGTGCAAAAGTGTGTGGCTACTTCAAACTGCACAAGAACGTCCATTTAAAACCATGATATTTCCAAAACAGATAAGTGTTGCAGAAATCTTAATTCACTAAAGCTACTGGAGTGAGGCAACGACAGAAAACTTTTTGTTTCATCTCGTCTTGAAGTCTTGTTGATCTTTGATGTGAAGCAAAGTGAGCTTTGATTACACACTTCACTGCAGCGTCTCTCAGGACACCAGGCAATTACAGCTAATGCGGCCAGCCATATGTAGAAAGCATAAAGACAAGAGACAACCTGATTGGGCTAATTACACGTACCTTCACTGACTAATTCGGCAAGCCAACGGGAAGCTCAGAGGCTTTTATTCCCAGCATGTGCATCAATGGGCTAATTATCTGATCTTAGAGGTGGTTCATGCTCCCACTCATATGCCATATGTCACCGATAGTGTTTAAACCTGTTTTTACACTGCGTGGGTGTCAAGGTGAGGTGTATATTACCGTTGTTAAAGACTTTTCTTTAAAAATAATTAAAAATAAAAAAGATATACTAGTACAAATTACTCCCCTAGGGCGTTTACATTGTTGAGCTTGGGTTGCATTTGTCCATTTTCCCAGTAAATCCACATTATGTGCTGGTGATCTCCTCTCACACGGTGATTAAACATCTCTTTGTCTATAATGTTGCTCTGTCAGTTGTTTAACGCGGCAACTTTTCCCACCCGAGGGGGATTTAGTCCCTGCTCCTCACAGATTTAGTATCAGAAACCTCCTCCTCCTCCTCCTCCTCTGCCACCTCCTGTGTTCTCATGTTGTCGGCCATAATTGAACCCATCAACAGTTTTCTCTTCGACATCCAAACATATGTCGAGGTATCGCTGCCCGTCAACCCTCCTCCTTCCATCCCTGCTCATCCGGCTGACTCTCACCACCCCTCTCACTCGCCACCCACCATCTCATTGTCTGTCTGTTTCCGCCTGAGTGACCCTACCCCGCCACCGCCACCCTCCAAATGGGGATTATTGTCTAGACGGGCCGTGCTGATTGGCTGTGAAGGCCAGCCGAGGCCTTCCATTGGAGGGGGATACATATAGGGGCAGTCAGACTGATTCGTTTGAATAGTGAGAAACGTTGGCTGAGGTGCAGGCTAACAACTGGAGAAACACAGACAGGGACATTTATACCAGCACATTTCTGAGGTAAGGTGTAGATTATGTTATTTTATTCAAAAGAGCTGTTTTAATGAGTTTTTTTAATACTTCACATTCAGTGAGTTTTCTATTACTTTCTCTCTGTAAACTTTATTCTGACTGACAGTTTGGTTTTGTATGAATAATTTGGAGGTTTGCTTTAAAAGCATCTCACCAACATTTCCCACACATTTTGGCACTTGAGCACAGTTCCTTGCATGCTTCCCTTCATCTTCCCACAGATTTATTTTGTGACTTTGAAAAGAAAAGAAAAAAAGGCGGAGGGCCTCAGGCCGGCTACGTAATCTGCGGTTCGCTACTTTTGCCAGTGTCTGCATGTTTTTTTTCAGAATAAGATAAACCTGTTAGTTTGAAACTAATTCAGAGTCAACATGTGCAGTGACTCAAAATGCATGCCTGCAAGTTAAGACAGAGGTCAAGATGCTGCCCCTGGGTTTTTTTTTTTTTTTTTTTTTGTCTGCCTTCAGGGGGTGGCGGTTAGTCCAAGTCATATGGCATAGTCTTCAAAAGAAATGAGAGTTTAAAAAAATGAAAGGAGGATAAAAGCAGAGCGCATTATTACCGCAGCATATACTGTAGCTGTGAATGCAAAAGGATTCAAATTAGAAGGCAAACGTGAGACAAAACAAATGGAAAGAGCTAAAAATATAAGGAAAGGAAAGCACAACACAAAAAGGATGGTATGTTTTACAGCTGTCACTGTTTGGATCCTCTTGTACGCAGTCCATATGGGACACTGGCCTGTCCTCTAAAACTAGGTCACATGACCACACTGTTAAACAAGGTGCACAGTCTGAAACGTGAAAAACAGGCCATGCTGACCAGGTTTTTATGGTTATTTTTATTGAAAAAATAAATAATCGTAGATGCTTCTCTTTTTTTTTTTAACCAGCACCAAAAAGCAGGAGGGTACTTCAGTAGATAAGACGAAAACTGTAAAAGCGAATGAGTCAATCAACTGAACAAGATGTTTATTATTGCGTTTATTTGATCACTTTTAACTCTTTTTTTGCCTTTTTTGTCTCCCTGCAGCTGTCAATGAGAGAAGCTGGAGATGGCCTCCATGCTCAGATGAACTCAATGATGGGAGCTCTCCAAGAACTCAAGCTCCTCCAGGTCCAGACGGCGCTCGAAAGCCTCGACATATCAGGGCGGCCCATAAACCGGGGGATGCCGCAGTCTGCTCCAGTCGCTCCCCTGAACTCGTCGGCTGCGGCAGCTTCCGTGTCGACACAAGAAAACAAGTTCTGCATCACACAGACCGTCCCAGAGAGGTCCAGCCCAAGTTCCATGCAGAGTCCAAGGCTGTCGATAGAGAGCAGAAACTCTTTAAGCAGAGACGATCGTACTTCATCGCAAAACAGGAGCAGCCTGGGGACCTTATCATCCTCAGCCTCCAGTCTGGAGAGTGAAAGTGAGAGTGAAAGTGAAGGAAGTGAAAGAAGCACAAGAGGTGAGAATGAGACGGAGCCAAGACCCAAGAGGTGGTCAGGATACAACGCCCCTCAGGTAGACTTCTACGGACCAATGGTGGGAAACCCTCCACCAGAACCACACCCTCATCCTCCACCTCGTGCACAAGTGGTGGACCTGCCCGGGATCCTGTACAGCCTCTCTAGAGAGGGCCCGTCCTTGGACAGTGACTACTCCCAGGACAGTGCAGACGACGCCAGCGACTGGACCTCGTCCCTCATGAGCCGCAGCCGCAACCGCCAGCCCTTGGTGCTGGGGGATAACGTGTTCGCAGACCTCGTGGGCAACTGGCTGGACCTGCCCGAGGTGGAGCGAGAGGAAGGAGAAGAAAGGGAAAGGAGGAAGAGGAGAGAGGAGAGGACAGCGGACAGACCGGACACGCCGGCGCACCCGCTCCGCCTCAGCCGCTCCCAGGAGCTCTGCAGGAAGTTCTCGCTCACCACGAACATCTTCAAGAAGTTTCTGCGCAGTGTCCGGCCCGACAGGGACAAGCTTCTCAAGGAGAGGCCCGGCTGGATGGCCCCCGAGCTGCCAGAAGGCGACCTTTTTAAAAGACCAAAGAAAGCAGCCCCTAAAAGCTCCAAAGGCGGTTTTTACCTGCCGTTCTGGGCAAACGGACAGCACTGCAAAGGCCGACCATGTCTGCATCTCGCGTCGGCCGACAGTAAACACTTCCACCGCCAACATCCCGATCAACCCTTCCCCCAGTTCCACCAGTTCCACCAGCAACCCTTTACAGGACTTTATTTAGACAGGAGGCAGCCCGAGACGGACCTGGAGAAAATGCAACCCTTGTTTGACTACAACACAGCTGTGTGGGTTTAACAGTGAGTCTCCAGTCAACAGGCTGCCACTGTTGCCAGACTGACAAGTGCTGCGGTCAGTGACGGCTGGGACGGGAAGGAATAAATGAGTGGATTGAAAGAGAGGTACAAATGTCTTTGTGTGATAAACACCACAACTGTAACTTTTTCCTCCTAACTGAGATCATCAGGGCTACATTTTGTACGACAATCTGACAACCGAACTTGTTTTCTGTAAGTGGATGCATGTCTGAGATTTCTGTTTTTGTTTTTTGTTTTCATTACTCATATATTTACATGTGTGCTTGTATGACTGGATCGCCTGGTTGTCTTAAAAGATGGTACTTCAAAATAGACACAGTCATCAGAATGTCACCATAATCACAAAACTTTATATAAGAAAAAAAACACAGACGTTTTTACAGAACATGACTTACACGTCTTGCTTCTTTACATCTAAGAATAGCAACACCAAGTGTTAAATTGCACGGTTGTGTTTTTTTTAAGTGAGGCAACAAACAGCTGTTACTGGACACACTGCCACTAACGAGTCCTAAGCTCCATTTGGTATAAATCAGGTTTAACCGGACTCATCTCGTTCATCTCGCTCAGGAAAAGAGCAACAGGAGTAAACAAATTGCCGCCATGTTTAAATGAGGTTTAGTGAAGTCTTCTCACTCAAAGTGACATAACAGCAATAAGACTGCTCCTGATGAACGGTTGTGTTTTTGCTTCTTTTCTTGTCTGCCGTGCAAAAAGACAACTGGAAGTCTTCTTGGGGTGAAAGGGAAGGGGGGTAAACATGGCACTGCCAATTTTCTGTACTGCCTAACCGACAGCCATCTGGTACCATGTTGTTACCAAAAAAACCTGTTTAAAGCTTGTTTAGTTCCAAAGATTTGTGAACCGACCGATGACGATGTGTCGTGCAGTATACACACAGCTGAATATGTTTTTAACACAAGTGGGGAAAAAAATCGGAGCTGTGGACATATGTCATCAACCAAACAGCAGCAATAAGAAGCATCTACTAATGTCCCGTTGCATGATTTTCATTATTCTGCACAAATAAACATGACAAATAGAAGCAGTTTCTAATATTACTTGTAAAAACCAAAAAAAATGCCACACTTGTACTTACAGTATGTTTTCTTGTATCAATTACAGACTCACACAAACTCTCTCAGGATTACAGAATATACTGCCTGCTCTCACTCAAAACACTTAGAATGAAGGACCACTGTTATGCAAGGACAATCTGATGCTCTTATTACTTATATATATAAAAAAAGGATAATTTTACTGTTTCAAACTTGATATCTGACCAACTAACAACCAGCAGGGATTAGACCTCAGAGGTCCTTTTGGGAGTCTTGGCCAGCCGATCCACATGGTATCGTCCCAGTTTTCAGGTCAACACATTCTGCACATTCAGAGGGTCCAACACACACACACACACACACACACACACACACACACACACACACACACACACACACACACACACACACACACACACACACACACACACACACACACAACTTCTGCTGACACAGCCGTGCCATAAGGCGCAATCTGAGATGTCATATCTTTCTGTACGTGTTTGTTAATAGAACTTTTATTTCTTCCAGTTAAAACTTTCTTGAGTTTAATGGTTTTTTTATCAGGGTTTTGTGATGCTTTAGTAGTGATTATGTGTCCTGTGCACTGTAAAACTGTTACTGGCTTTTATCAAATTAAATCTATTTACAGAAAGAACTTTCCTCTGTGTCTTGACTTTCAGCAAAAACAGGAGTGTTAAAATTTCAGTGTTAAACTTTTGGGTGTTGATTTAACACCCCCCGGTGTTATTTTAACACTTTCTGAGTAAACTGACACCCAGTGTTGGTGTTAACTCACAGTGCTGAATTCCTCAGTGTTGTCTCAACACTGGACAGTGTTAAATAAGCTCCGCCCACTGTTAAATTTTATATAACCCTTAACAGTGTTGTCATATGACACCATGCAGTGTTGAAAGAAGTATCCTTAAAAGCCCCGCCCTCTTCCACCTCATGTCAGACAGACCAGTATTTACCCAGAATTCCTTGCTGAGAAATCTTGCAGAAATGATGTTTTTGCATGTTTATGAGTATTAAAGACATTCATGAGAGTAAAAATGAGTTGTTCTGGTTAGTTTTCTTGTTCAGTTTGATGAAGTTGTTCAACTTTAAGTTTGTGTCATTGGCCAAAAATCGACACCATAAGTGAGAGGTATGTCCTGGTGTGTGAAGGGTGACTCCATAATGCTTTGCTACAAACGATTAAGAAAAGAGTTTGATATTAAGTCTGAATGTTAAATTTACACTCTTAATTCAATGGTGTATTGACACCTTGTGGTATCTGTAAAACTTTATATCACCACAATTTCCTTTGTTAATAATAATAATAATACACTGGCGTTACTTTTAACACTGTTGAAATGTTAACATGATACCCAGTATTGTTGGATATTCAACACCGGCTGCTGTTACTTTTAACACTATATTTTAACACTAACACAATTTTTATGTTAATGTGACACCCAGTATTGTTGAACATTAAACCATGGTGGGTGTTAAATTAACAAAAAAAAAAGGGTGTTAAAATTTAACACTTTCACAAATGTTATTTTAACTCCTGTGAGTGTGAACACATATTGTTGGTGTTGAAATTAACACTGTTGGTGTTAAATTAACACTGGCATAAATGTGTCAAATAAATATTTAAAGCAATGAATGAAAGCCGATTTTTAAACGAAAAATGATTCAACACTGAAAATACTTTATTACGTTTAAGCAACAAAAGCATTGTGTATCGGTGTCAGGTTTTAAACAGCTCAATTCATCATTTGTTTTAGGACCGTATGGTTTTGTACTCCATCAGAGACAAATGAAGTAAACATTTTTTTTCAATAAGAAAAGCAAAATGTCCAAACCCAACATGCAGCCCTTGCTTTTATCTGCAGCTCTTAGCCTGATTTCTTTCTGCTCCGCTCTGCAGTGAAACGTCGCTGCGTGACTAACAGCTTCATCGAGGGTAAAAGCCAGCATGTCACTCACAGCTTGAGCACCAACTAAACCCATTCTAAATCTGTCCCACCACTGCAGCACAGGCTTTAAAAAAAGCTGCAGCCCCGGAGTTCGTCACAAATACTTCATGACATCCAATCCTGAAGATGTTTTTTTATGAGATACACATCAAACCACATCAGTCAGTTCATTGCTCTTGCCCTGCAGCACTTTCACTACAAGGTTCTCCCACTCGTAAAGAGCCTGGGATCATTTAAAAAGAAATATGCTGTGGAATAAATTAGTCTGTTTCGATATTTAGTGGTGAAAATTTTTTGACTAATGTTTAATAAAGCATATGTTTCCATTTTCTTCAAAATGAATGAACAGTTTAATAGAAAATGTCAAACTTTTTTTAGTTTGTGTAGGTTTTTCCATTCATATCATTTAAATGCATTTGTTATGTTTTTGTTTTGTTGTTTGTTTTCAGCAACTACAGACAGTTTAATGGTTTTCTTTGTCCTGTGAGAGAGAAAAAAGTTTCTGCAGAGATTATTCTCAAACAGGTCTTTTTCTATTGTTTTACTGCTGTTTCCTCCCAATTCCAGGATTAGAAGCAAATATGATCAGTGTTGATCATTTTTATTCAATGTTTATTGTGTTTAATACTTTACAATATATGATTAGTAGTTTGATAAACAGTATTAGTGTTATGTTATTTGAAACCTTTTCAAGTTTATTAGACTTAGAAATGCTTATTATTATTATAATTAAAATGTTACTTTTTAAACAGTAATTTAGCTGACACAGCATAGCAGAAATATTTATTTATGACTAATAGAACTTAAATAAAAGTAAAACATGAATACGCTTTTTAAAAACCCTTATCTTAATGTAATACACAATATTTATCAAAACATAACATTACACAACAGAACTGAAATAATACAGTTCATTTATTTTTTATTTTTTGCCCAAAAAAAAAGAGCATAAGGTTTATGGTATTAAATTCTTCCTCTTTACAGACTTTACAATTAATACATATCTCGTTTGAAATAAGCCATTGGAAAAATGGAAATGAAACGCAAATTACTGTAACTAATTATATTAAGTAAGTAAATATCATGCAAATACTGTTATATAATATCTCACAACAGTGAAGTTTTACACTTTTCTTCACCTTCATAAAAACTGAACATTTACCAAATTCTCACAATTTTATGTTTATTTTGCAGAACATTTATTTGGCTTATATAACTCACTTTTAACAGGTCAGTGAGCATTTTCATATAAAAAGACACCAGGTTGTTTGTGAAACAGGATAAGAATAACCCATGTGAGGGGTGTGTGTGCGTGAGTGTGTGTGTGTGTGTGTGTGTGTGTGTGTGTGT